AGCACCCCCTCCTGCCCAGACCCTGGCTGCCCACCCTCACTACATCTATCTTTTTGTAGCGGAGCCCCCAGGCCGGAGGCGGGAGCTGCTTCACGCTGAGGTGACTGCTGGGATTGGGAGAGTTTTATGGGGACCCCTTTCCCATTCACTCTTCTGCTCTATGGGACTTCTTGATCTGTGGGGACTTCCTCAGGGTGTTCCAAGACTGGGAGTTAGGCCTCCCAGCTTAGTAAGTACATGGCCCCATGTGCTCCAGCGGGGTTGGGGTGGTCAGACCAGGACAGATTGTCAGGATCTGGGAACCCAACACAGAAAGTCTGCTGGGCCTGAAGTCATGCAGGCTTCCTGGAGGAGGGAGTAGCTAGAGGACTCAGGGAAGCTGTCTAATGGGGCAGAAGATTCTGGAAAGATCCAGACTGAGGAGGAGGCCCCCCTTTTCCCACATCCATGGGCGTGTCTTTCCTTGGCAGGTTCAGAACCTCATGGCACGAGCTGAGTACCTGAAGGAGCAGGTCAAGGTGGGGGCATGGGGGGTGCTGCGGCACTGGGGTTGTGGGTTCTGTACCTTGTGCCTGTGGCTGTGTGTGCCATGCCTCTGGTGCGTGTCTCCTTCTCTAGTCTCCACCAAGGTCCTCTTCATCGCTGTCTGTTCTCCTTGCTCTTGGTTACTCAGCAGCTAGTCGTTGTGGCCTCCTGCTATCTCTGGCTGCCTCTCACCTCTTTTGCTGCTTCCTGTCCTACAGATGAGGGAGTCTCGCTGGGAAGCAGAGACCCTGGACAAAGAGGGGCTGTCGGAGTCAGTTCGTAGCTGTGAGTTGTGTTCTGGGGACTTGGTGCTTGTCCTAAGGAGTGGGGGGCTGAGGGTGGCCTTCGGTTATGCCTCTGTTGCCAGAGACCCGATACTGACCCACCCCCTTGCCCCTGAACAGCTTGTACCCTGCAGTGATGCCAGAAAGGGGATTGGACAGACCATAGGCCACCTAGAATTCAGAGGTGCAGCATTCCGGCCAGGGCCTGTGGATCAATGCCCAGAATTCTGGGCCCTGTACAGCCCTGGAGAGCATTCTGGGGCAGGGGCTTCCTGGGTGGGCAGCTCTGAGACCCCGACACCCCAGTGTCTCTGGCCTCCCTGGGGATGTTCTTTATCACCCAGAGGCTTCAGTAGCTTACCTTGTGTGCTGGGAACACTGGGCCTTGTCTTGGGAGAAGACTGTGTTTTCATTTGATATTTACTTAGGAAGTGAAAAAAAGTTGTTATTGGGTACTTGCTGGGTCCAGAGCCTGTCACTTTCTGCGTCTGAGCCGCTACCCTGGTACGAGGGGACAGCAAGGCTTCTAGCATTTCTGCTCTGAGAAGAAGACTGGAGCTCTTTGCAGGGAACTTCTGTGCTGGCCTCTCCCTTCTAGCAGCCAGTATCCCCCTGTGCCCACCCCTGTCTTTCCTTATTCCCTCCTTATCCTGGAATGGGACACTCAGAGCCCTCGGGGACCACCCACCACCACAGTGTCTCTCTTCAGCCCCACAGAACTCACCAGTCTTTCTAGGAGCTGACTCCTGCCCAACCACCTCAGAATTGAAAAATAACCCTTTAAGCGTGACAAGAATGGTCTTGGTGTAGTGGGGGGGGAGGGGGGGGGCTGTGCATTTGAGGAGCACATACTTTCTTCCTGCCAGGTCCAGTGGGCGCCAGAGGAGGGGCTCGCAG